CTCGCTTGGAGGGGAAGGGGTAGCTGAACGAATAACAATATTTGGAGATTGAAAAAAGAGGAGGGAGATGTAATATTGGGCCCCATCACTTTTGCAACGATCATTGAAAAGCTTTTGCGCTTTATCTACCCCCTTTTTACAAAAAAATATGCACTACCCCACCCCAAACCTTCTTTTTTTCCTTCTTTTTCTTCGCTTTCACTTTAGCTTATTTGTAAATTTTTTTTTTTTTTTTTTTTTACAGTTCCTGCTCCACTTTCTAATTTTTTTAAAAATAGAGATAACTATCTCCCAAATTACTTCGCTTATTTCCCCTCCCTTTAGCTCATGTGATCTGAGATTAAATTCAAAAGAAAGGGGGGGGGGGTAGGAGATTTGTGTTCGATCAACATTTCTACTTTCAAAATAAGGAGTTGTTCAATAACCTAAAAATGTTGTGATTTGCTGACAAGGGTGAAACGGTGTTATAATAAATACATACGCAAGAAACTAAAATGTCCTTATTTTAATTTTCTTTCAAATAAAAAGAAACATGGTAAAAATTTGGGAAAAAATTGTCCTTGGAAAAATTTTAAATTTAGAGTAAAAATTAAATTTGGAAGAAAAAAGTTAAAAAATATTTCTTCAAGGATTTGCAATTTTTTTTTTTTAAATGTGCTTTTATTAGATAAATTTTGTTTTATGCAAAGTTGCTTGGATTTAATCCTAAAAATTTTAAAGTTGATTACTACAATCAAAGTTTAAACAATAAAATCCGAAATTTTAATTTTTTTATTCTGAATTCGCTTTAAGATAACCCCGAGAATTGGAGTTTTTTTTCTCATTCTTTTTCAGAGAGTAAATAAAATAATTCAGTATGTATTGCCATCGTAAAATCTACCACATGCCGCTTAGTGGCACGAGGTTTATGTTGTAGGTTCACCAAAGTGGATTTAATTGCTGCAATGAATCAGTTTTGTTACTCAAATAAATGATGATGTATATACATATTGAAAATTTATTCTTCATTATTTTACAATTTTACAAGATTGAAATGAAATTCATATTTTGTTTGATTACAAACCTTTGTACATTATAGACTGACGTCACACATCTTTTTTTTTATATAACCACTTTGAATGTTTTATCATCATTATTACATGACTGTTGCCACCATAGAGAGGAGAGAAAATATCTCTGCAATAAATTCTGTAGACTGAAAATGACATGGAATAGTATATCTATAATGCTTTTTGTAAATAGAATAGACGTCTAGAGATGACTCGATTTTTCCACTCTCTACACTTTCCCCATACTCCTTACCATGGTTACAAAAAAAATCTGATATTTCTTCCACGGCAGTAGGTTTCAGTAAGGAGTTGTAAGGGAAAAAACAGGATTTACCAGATAACGAACCATTCTATTTACAAAGCTTATGTACATAAATAAAGACAATTTTCTTTTGAGAGATGGAAAAACACAAAGTTACATTTCTTATATTTTAAAGATCTCTATTTGAAAGCTATATTTATGTATGAGAATAAATTTTAAGATTCTCGAAATTAATAAAAGAAGTCAATTGACGTAAAAAAAAAGTTAGTTATTTTTTTAGTGATATAGAGCGTTGAAATTTTCGAAACCTTAATAATTTTGAAAGGAATTAATGCTTTCGGAAGTGCTGGCTTGAAAAAGTGCAAATAAATATTGTTTCACAATTAAAACCATTTTAAATCCCTCACATTATTAAAAAAAAGCACAAATTGTGTAAAGTTGTGTGTGTTTTTGTTAAAGTTGTGAACTTTTTAAAACAATTAAGTTATGATGTTTTTTAAATTCGTAATTTTCTCGATTTTCTGTTTTTCAATAATATTTGGTACACCAATATTAACTCTTGACAAATCAACTGGAAAATTCCAAAAATTGATCTTTCCTAAAAAAGAAAAGATTTATTTTCATTTCAAAAGAAAAGCATAAAAATTTAATTTACAAACAATTTGGGACACAGTAAAAAAAGTTCTCACAACATTAACATTTTTCAGAATGCATGGAGAAATACATTCTTACCATAGTATTCAATAAATAATTTGTCGAATACAAACATATTAATAAACACTTTTATTTCAAAATTGTGAAAAATTGCTCGCAGTGTTGGGACATCAAACGTTCGCAAAAGTTATTAAAACTAATTTCAGCTTCGATAAAAATAACGATTTTTTTATAATCCAAAAAAATGCCATTTTTTAGAAAGAGAATGCCTAAAAAGGAGTGAAAAAGGAAATCAAAATGGTTCGGGATTTTCCAGTTTAAATAGTTGATTTTAACACATTTGCAAATTGATGATGTACAGTGCACAAAACGGAATAAATTTTGATCTAATAATCGGATTATCACGTAACCGATTAAACCAGTGTATCATATCAACACACATTATATATATATATATATATATATACACACACACACATACACATATATACACACATATACACACTCAAAGAGAGAATATATACTTTCATCAGCGAATGTCAACAATCACACATAGTAGCTTTAATGAATGTCCAAAATATTTGCTATATCCAATGTGACATTAATTTATTCGTTGATATTATTATATTTACTCGACATTTTAATATCTGCTGAGGATAAATTAGGAGAAACATCAGTGTTCAGAGTAACTATTAAATGCCTACTGGACAGGGCCACTGAATCTTTAAAAAAAAACTGGGTAAATGTATATCTGGCAGTGGCACTTAACTAGATCTAGTATATATTTCGGACATTTACCAAAGCGACTATGTGATTGTTAACATCCATCCATCTATCTATCATNTCAACTTGATGAAATACAGCAATTTCTGAAATCATTGCTTTTCAGTAAAAGCGATTTTCCATTTACATTTGAATTTAAAAGTAATCATAGCTTATACAAAATGAGAATGTTGACTTCCACAGGTCAACAATCACACAGTTGCTTTGGTGAATGTTTGTTTTGCCCGATTTTGTTTTAATTTATTCAAGATAGTACAGGGTAATTAAAAATAACTGTAGTGTTTATAAGCAGCTTAACTATTTAATGAAAAATAATTTATAGACAAGATTCACATAAAATGTTGTTTGAACTTCTAAATTTCTTTACGTAAGGCGCAGACGCAGTGAAGAAGAATCCTGCGCATGTGAAAATGGTGAGACAATCAAAAACCTCAAATGGGAACAACATACGCAGATGGTGTACAGTGTTGCCAGATTAGGGGTTTTCCCCCTAAATTTAAGGGGATTTTTTTACCTTCAGTGGGTATTTTAGAGGAATTTGTTTTTAGGGTTTTTTTTTAGGGTTATTTGTGAATTTTACTAGTTTCATTTTGGTTACGTTCTAATATCAAATTTTATAACTGAATGTGTGAGATGGTAATATGAAAATCAATATGTTAAATCAAAACAAAAAGATAAAGATTTAATTTTAGAACTTAACCCCTTTGTTGAATGTAGTAAGTTATTACGTAGCTCGATTCTCGACTTAAGTTTATTTATCTCGACTCTTGTTTTAGCTTTATTATGTGTTCCGATTTCAAATGCAGCTGTGGAGAGATGTTTCTCCATATTAAATATTATTAAAGACAAATTGAGAAATAAACTGTCCAATAACTACAGCTGATGCTATTTTGCGCGTTCCATATGAACTTTCTAATGGTTGACAAAATTTCGTACCTACTTCTTCTATGTTAAAAATGTTTAACAGCGAAAACATATACAAATCAGAAAGTATTGACGAAAATATGTTGGATATTTAATCAGAAATTTAAGCATAATGTTAGAATTAAAATATTAAAAAGACAATATCGTTGATAATAAAATATTTATGAAAAAATGTGCGAGTCAAAAAACATTAAAAAAATATCTTAAATATTTTAGTAGAACTTAAAGATAGTGTAACGATTGAAATATAAAAGAAAATTAATTTGTTGATAATAAAATATTAAAAAGTATTAAAGCAACGTTTTCTATACATTATTTAACTTTTGTACTATTTTTAATACTTATACATTAAGTTTAAAAAAAATTTACATTTTTTAGTGGATTTTACAACACCATCTGGGAGTGAACGGTTATCGGCACCTGGCAACACTGATGGTATAGGATGTTTGTGCAAAAGGAAAAGTAACACTTGCGTCAGTGACTGCACAAGTACTTCAAAATGTATAGCGTGAAATGGAATACCGCCTAGATGTTACCCGTGTGACCAAGGGAGGTCACATAGAAAATCTGTGACGCATGTATACGAAATTTCGAAATTTTTTCTAAATTCTGTATAAATTTTATCGATAAATTCGTTTTCATTAAATAGTTATAGCAGTTTGTAATAGTAATTTGTAAATTTTTCAGAAGTTTCCATTCGTTCGAATGTTATTGCAAATTTAAAAGCTTTTTCCTGATTTTTTTTTTCACCTTTTATGCTTTAAATATTGATTATTTATCCATTGTTGTAAAAATTTTATTTTTTCCAGACTTATTTTATAAACTCGAGCTCGCGTCTTTCAAAAGTAGAATGAAAAAAAGGAAGAAAGAAGAGAGAAAAAGTGAGAGGTAAGTCTTAACATTTATAGTAAAATTTAAAAAATAAATAAATGAAAACTTATAATAAATGACGATAAGAAACATTCCCTATATAAATTATTATAAGTTTCGTCACTGTGCAAACTAATTTATTTTTTCTCATCGAGTACACATTCTGTGTTCTTCAGATTATACTTTTTTTTTTCAAGTTCAAATGATTATTTTTCTAATCCAGGTAATTGTCTATTATGCTATGATTAACACATTACAAAATGTTCACACACAATGCTGAAAAATATTATGTATTTTGAAACTAAAATTATCAGTGTTTTTGGAGAAAATTATTAAAAGAGACTAATCTATAACTTTCAAAAATGAATAAATCTATGGTCAAATTCATTAGACAATATATGAGGGTGCCCCTTGATTCTCGCCAAGCTGGGCGATATTGTTTTATTGATGGGAACGTTGATAGTCTTTTTTTTTTTGGAAACCCAATCGTGATTCTGATTGGTTTAGATTTCAAGCTAAATAAAGTGAGTCGATTTTTTCCCCTTTTTTTCTGTGCTTATTCCATTAATTTTTGTTTCGATTCAAAATGCATCTTATTGGGTTTATTAACTTTGCTTACATTGTGTTCATTCCAGTTTTATTAAGTTTTGGAAGATTTTTTATTGAAATTTTCAATATTTTATTGAAATTTCAAAATGTTTTGGCCGCCATTTCTGTTTGCACAGTGCTCCGCGCAAAGAGGAATGGCGCCAAACAAAAATCGCCAATTTGCCAAGGGGGCACCCTCAAATGTATTTTTACCATAAAGTTTTATATCGAATATATCTTTTGAGAGTGAAAATGCTTATTAATGTGATTAAATGTAAGTACTGAGTTGGTTAAAACATCAAATTTTGAAATAAAGACACATTTAAAAGTAAATCTATAAAATGGAGAACATTTTTGTAGAATTATTTCATTAATTGTGTTGTCGCTACTGTTTGGGTTATAACAACGTTCCTCTGGTTTGACAAATCGAAACGGTGTGCATACAAAGTCATAACATTTGTGAGAAAAAGTATTTAAAATTTTAAATAACAAATTGCACTTCACCATAGCTTTCAAAACTAATAACAGTTTTGTTTTTGATAAACTTTATAACACCCAACAATGGTTCCATAACGAGTTAGAAGTAAACAAAAATCATTCATTTATTATTAAATGCTTTTACTGCAAATAGAACGGATACACAAACGAGTATTTCCTCAAGTAACTGTATGACTTCTTTATAAAATAAGAACGATTTTGAAGAGCACAAAATGAAAACGATTTTGAAAATAAAAACGATTTTGAAGAGGGCACCAGCATTGTTAAATCCAATAATATGGAGTCTATGCGAAGTAACGACAAATGCCATTGAAAATCGCAAATATATTCAATTTTTAAGTCTTAGATAATGCTCTGAAATACGGAATTTGTTTATTGAAATTTTTAAGTTTCCAACTTGTCGTTTTTATAAATCTTAAATGTATATAAAAATGTATAAAAAAAAACTTCGCAAAATCTTGTGAAAAGTATTAGTGTTGTAAAGAGAATGAGATATTAATCCGAATGTTTATTTGGGGGGTAACAAGTAAAGATAATATAAATTAAGCGTTACTGAAACATTTTGCGATAGAATGTTAGACATCGATATTATATGTACGTCACTAAATTACAGCACTTATTTGGTTAAAGAGTTTGTGTTGGCGACAACTCAGAAAAACAGTCGCCAATACACACAAGTACCGAGTTTTAGTATCAATGCAGTATAAAAGTTTTAAATAAATAACTGATATGATTTTTGTCCGTTTTGAAAGATATAATAAAAACATAAGAATGACGACAGCAGGCATGTAGAGTTGAGATGCATGAGCAAAAGAGATCCAGTTACTGATTGATGCAATTGATGTCTCTGTACAGGCACATACAACCATTCGTTAAAAATCATCTCTCGCACATCAAAGAGCCCGCCGCATTCTCTTGCTATAAACAACAAAATGTTTACTTTATTTTTTTTTAACATGTTGAGCATATTTTTATGGAAATCCCCACGCACGCTCCTTATAAACGCTCGAACAGCAATAGATGGCTACTAAAAGTAATTAAAATTTGATTTGTGATAAATAATAATTAAGTAAATTTTAAATAATTTTTCAGTAATTGCTAAAAACAATGTAATTTTTTTAATTACATTTTACAGAGTTGGTTATTGATAACTGACGTCCGAAAATTGATTTATGAAAGAAATTTTCGATTCAAAATTTTAAAATAAATGAATGAAATTTCTTTTTCCAAAAAAAAGCTTCCAGCAATAAGAAATAGCAGCTTTCCACTTTCTAAACATTTTAATAAGTTCAAACAATTGTAATAAGGACTTAAATTTTGAAAAATTACAAAGTATTTTTTAAGAACTGTGGATAGTTTATTCTTTTGATTTCATTTTCAGTTCCAGGCATAAAAAGTTAGATGGGCCGCTTGTTACGAATTCTACAACCATCATAAAAATAGAATGCCATTCTCTACAAAGTAAAACATATAAAAAAAAAGAACCAGAATTTCTTCGTATTTCCTTTCATTTATTTCTTTGCTTATTTTTAAAATTAAAAAAAAAATATTCGTAAGAAATAGATTGTGTTAAATTTGAAAGATTAGAAAATATGAGAGCAGAAATGAGAGGTAAAAAACCACCTCTGTCTTCACAATTTTTTTAAAAACATAAATTTGCAAAATAAAATTTTGTGGATATCGTAAAAAAAAATCTCGTCCATTATTGTTGGCAAGAGAAGGCGGCTCGTTTGTGAGAGATTTTTGAAGAGCAATTTCGATGAAAAATGGTAAAAAAAAGAACGTAGCGCTGCTTTTGTTTTTTATTCCAAAGAAAATCGTTCTGTAGCAGCACCAAATATAAGGAGATAGAAGAGTCGGCTAACGGTAAAAAGTAGGTCTTCCTTATTTTGCGATTTCTATCACAATTCTCCGTTGTGTATCCTGGGAGAGAGATCCTCACATCGGATACGACAGTCACTTCACGGCCTCAACACAACCTGAAACACACACACAAATTTCACATTAGTGGAAGAATATAAGGTTATTAGACGCACTATAAGATTCTATGTAAAATTATCAAGTGATACATACATAGTAACCTGTAGTGCCACATTGTGGGCCCCCTATTAGCCTTATAATTATATCCTCTGGTAGGGTAGGGGAGAGTGGGGTCAATTGTAACATTTTTTACTTAACTATTTTTAACTAACAAAAAATCCAATATATTATTAGTATTAATTGACAGACGAGTAAAGTAGACTATCCTCTGCTAGAAAAAAAATAAATACATAAAAAAAGAAAA